GGAGACCTGGTCCACAACCCACACATGTGCCCTGACTGGGAATTGAACCAGTGACCCTTTGGTTCACAGGCCAGTATTCAATCCACTGAGCCACACCAGTCAGGGCCCTCTCTCAGCAACTTTTAAATATATACACAGTACACTATTGTTAACTATAGTCACTGCACTGAACATCACATCCCCAAGACTTATAACTGGAAGTTTGTACCTTCTGATCACCTTCACCCTTTTCCTCAACCCCTTACCTCTGCCAACCACCAATCTGTTCTGTTTCTACGAGTTTGTTTTTTTAGATTCTATATACAAGATCATATGGTATTTGTCTTTCTCGTCTGACTTATTTCACTTAGCAGAATGTCCTCAGCATCCACCCATGTTGTTGCAAATGACAGGATGTCCTTCTTATGGCTGAATAATATTCGTATATAGGATATATATACACACATATATTTGACATTTTCTTTATCCATTCATCCATGGTGGACACTTTGTTTGTTTCCATGTTTTGAGCGTTGTAAAAACGCTGCAATAAACATGGACGTGCAGATATCACTCTGAGATAGTGACTATTTCCTTCAGACATCTAGCCAGAAGTGGAATTGCTGGGTCATGTGGTAGATGATACGGTAGTTCTACGTTTAATGTTTTGAGAAATCTCCCTGCTCTTTTCCACAGTGGCTGCACCAGTTCACAGCAGTGCTCAAGGGTTCCCTTTCCCCCACCTGCTCGCCAGCGCTTGTTGTCTGTTACCTTTCGGTCAATAGCCGTTCTAACTGGTGTGAGGTGATTAGTGATGCTGACCGCCTGTTCATGTTCTTGTTGGCCATTTACACGGCTCCTTTGGGGAAATGTCTCATTTCTCTGCTCATTTTTAAATCTAATTGTTCATATTTTCCTATTGACTTGTATGAGTTCCTTAAATATTTTGGATATTAACCCCTTATCATATAACTTGTCAGCATATTCTCCCATTCCGTAGTTGCCTTTTCATTTTGTTGATGGTTTCCTTTGCTATGCATAAGCTTTTTAGTTTGATGCTGTCCCACTTTTTTTATATTTGCTTTTGTTGTCTTTGAGACTTGACTAGTATTACAGTTTAAAAAACAACAACTGTTACCCTAGTGTGCAACCGTATTTGGTGAGTTCATGCATACCTGAACTTGTCAGGTCTTCCACATCTAAAATTAAATTCCAATTCCTATAATTTTTATTGTGATAAAAACACACAAGAAAATGTACCAGGCGAACCATCTTTAAGTGTGCAGTTCGGTAGCACTAAGTATTTTCACATCGTTGTGAACCAGAGCTCCAGAACTTTCTCATCTTCCCAAGCGGAGAGACCACCATCCCACTAAACGACGACTCCCACCCCCTCTCGCTTGGCCCCTAGAGCCCTCCATCAACCACACTTTCCGTCCCCATCAGTCCGGCTGTCCTCAAGAGGAGTCACACAGTATTCGTCTCTTCGTGTCTGGCTTATTTCACTTAGCATAATGTCCCTCACACTTCATCCATGTTGCAGCATGTGACCGGATTTCCTTCCTTATTACAACTTTAAATTTTATTAAGCATTAAATATATATATAAGATAGCAAGAAAACAAACATCCATGTACCCACGTTAGTGAATAGAACATCATCAGTATCATTAAAAACCCTGGGTGCTCCTTCTTCCCTGCCAGATGTTGAACACTGTTGGGAATTTTATGTTTATTATCCCCTTGACTTTTTCTTTTTTACACATCTATGCATAGCTAAACAGCGTATTATTTAATCTTGTATGCTTTTAATGTTATAGCTGTAATCATACTACATGCATTTGTGTGCCACTCCTTTTTTTAATTGAGGTGAAATTCACATAACATACAATGAACCATTTCAGTGTACAATTCAGTGGCATTTCGTATACCCACAATGTTGTGTGGCCACCAGTCCTCTTTTTAAAGAGGACGCAACACTTTTTAAAGACATCCTGTACTCATCAAATAATCACTGTACTCATCAAATAATCGCTCATTCACCATTCTCTTCTGCCCCAACCCCTGGTAATCACTAATCTGCTATTCCTATGGATTTGACTTTTCTGGATAGATCATATAAAAGAAATCATATGGCCCTGGCTGGTGTGGCTCAGTGGATTGGGTGCCAGCCTGCAAACTGAAAGGTTGCTGGTTCGATTCCCAGTCAGGGCACGTGCCTGGGTTGCAGGTCAGGTCTGTACTTGGGGGTGTGTGAGAGGCAAGTGATTGATGGGTCTCTTGCACATCAACGTTTCTCTCCCTCTTTCTCCTCCCCTTCCCTTCTCTCTAAAAATAAGTAAACAAAGTCTTTTTTAAAAAAAGGAATTATATAACATGTGCTCTATTGTGCCTGGCTTCTTTCACTAAGCACAGGGTTTTTGAAGTTCATCCAACTTGCTGCATATAGTAACATTCTGCTCCTTTCTAGAAAAAAAATTTTATCCTCACCCAAGGACATGCTTATCAATTTTAGAGAGAGGGGAAGGGAGGAAGAGAGGGAGAGAAAGATTGATGTGAGAGAGAAGCATTTATCAGCCACCTCTTGTACAACCCCTATTGGGACCAAACCCACAACGTAGGCATGTGCTCTGGCTAATAACAAAGCCTGTGACCCTGTGGCTTACAGGACCACACTCCAATGAACCGAGCTATGCCAGCTAGGGATACTCTGCTCCTTTAATGGCTGAATAATATTCCACTTTATAGAGAGACCTCATCCATTGATAGACATTTGGACTGTTTCCTCCAGTTGGCTGTTATGAATAATGCTGCTATAAGTATTTGTGTACAACTGTCTGTGGGACATACATTTCCATTTCTCTTGGGTGTCTACCTAAGACTGGAATTGCTGGCCCATATAGTAATTGTAACTTTCTGTGTAACTTTCTGTGGATTGCCTAACTGTTTCCCATGACAATAAGGCAATGAGTTGCTGCCCCCAGAACTCATGGGCCTCGTCACACACTCACCCAACACACGGCACTGCCGGAGAGCTCTGACGGCCTGTGAAGATAGTAAAGTTTTGCCTCCATTTCTAGTAAAATAATGAAGCTTCTCCTACAAAAATCCAGAACTGCTGGTCCAAACATAGTATTAATTTTTTTAATTGTATGTATTTTTTAATATATAGTACAGGTCGTCTGTGGTACACAGTCCAACAGGTGCAAACAGTCTATGAAAAGAAAGAATCCACCCGCCCCCTGGTTCTCTCCCTAGCCAGTCTCCTCCCAGAGGCAACTACTTACTATTCCTAATGTCTTGTATATCCTTTCTGAGTTAGTTGGGAAATTTATAAGCATATATATACTGTTTTTAATAAAAAATTATTTTAAATTCAGAGCAGAGAAAGAAAAACAGGAATTTCCCAGATGCCAGAAATAAAGAATTAAAAAACAGCATGGGCCTGGTTCAGTGGCGTAGTTCAGTGGATCGAGTGCTGGCCTGTGAACTGACGGGTCACTGGTTCGATTCCCTGATTCCCTGTCTGGGCACAAGCCTCCACTGCAGGCAGGGTTCCCAGGTGGGGGCATGTGGGAGGTGGCAGATAGATGTTTCTCTCCCTCTCTTTCTCCCTCCCTTCCCCTCTCGGAAGAGAGGGAGGGAGGAAGGGGAGCCCTTGAGCTGCCTTAGTGGCTGCCTGGGAATTCAGGAGTTCAGTGCCCATGTGGACAGAAGGGTCTGAGCCCAGGGGCGGCAGAGAATTGGAACGGAGGGCCCTACAAAAAAAAATTCACCCTCCAGCATAGGATGAAATAAGGAGGCTCATTTCTTTTATCCTGTGGGAAAAGAGCCTCCCCAAGAACTGAGTCTGGGCTTTAAACCCCACCATGGAGTTGGGTCTAAATTTACACCATCTGCATGATCCAGGAACTCCAGTAGAGAAAGCCACAGAAATATTGCCCCTGAGATCCAGAGGTCAAGTCAGGCCCTTCCTCCCCTGACACTGTCCTCACAGGTAAGAGAATCTGACCAGGATTTTATTCAGTACCCGACTGATGTCCGCACAATTTCCTCTTGCTCTTCAGCCCTGAAAGTCCTCATAGTTCTACTGTTGCTGCTAAAATCTCAAAACTCTCCTGCTTTCAGGACTAAAGGACTAGGACTTGTGCGGACCAGCAGGGCATCACATGTGGACGGTGAGCTTGCCCACCACACACTGGCTGACTCCCACTTCTGCTTCTGTGCTAGGTGGTAACCTCCTTAGGGCCATTGTTCTGATTAACATCCTCTCACTTTCCTTGCTTCTCTGATCCAAATCCAAAAGGGGCATCCTGGCGAATGAGGGAGAAATGCATGTGTTAGCAAAGGGATCCTGCCCTTGTCCCACCTCCCCTCATTCAACACCTCGTTCAACATCAAGTGTGAAAAAGAAAAGCCATCAAGTGTGACAGGCTGCCTCCTGGAGCTGGGAGGAGAATAGAGCGCACTTTCTCCAGGGCAGACAGACCGTGAATGCAGAGAATACCCCAGAGCCCAGAAAAGCGAGCATCAGTTAGCAGCTCCTTCTCATATTGGAGGGAGAGAGAGGATTCCCCAGGGAGACGAGAGAAGGGCATCCCGGGCAGAGGGAACAGTGAGTGAGAAGGCACAGGCAGCTGGTGTGCTGGGGGAATGCCAGCAAGCCCAGCGTGTGAGCCTGGGGGAGAGGAGGGGAGAGGAAGGGTTGGATCATGCAGGGTCTTGAAAGCCAGGTGGAAATGTTTAGCGTCTATGCTGAAGGCATAGGGCTGGGGAAGAAATAAGATGCTGAGCTGGGTCCTAGATGGATAAGGCACAGAACAGAGCCACGAGCCCCAGGGATGGAGGCTGACTCTGGTTATCCAGCCTGCCGCTCTGGCTGTACCTGAGGAAGGTGTAGCTGATCACCAGGGCCTGGGGAAGAAGGGCAAGGGGGCCTACCTGGGGCCCTTCCCACAGCAGCCCACAGCCACGTATCACTCCTTCCTATCCCCTTACCTTGTCTTTGCCATCTTCCATTTAACTAGGGAACTAAGTCATCTTCCAAAATCTAAGAAAGAATTAGGAGGTGGGGGGAGTGTCAGCAGCCCCTGAGACCTGGGCATGTCCTGCAGCTGCCCTCAACAGGTTATCCTGCAGTGGCCTCCCCACCCCCATGCGAAGAACGTCTGAGTTCCCAGAGCATCACCTCCTGACTCAGAGCATCTGAAGTCCATGCCAGACCCGAAAGCTTCAGGAGAAGCAGCAGCAGCTGCCTCCAGGAACCCTGGGCCCCAGCATTCCTACGGCAGGTGAAGCCTGTGGTTTCATTCCTTACTGTCTTGAAGCGCTGAACGGGGGCGGGTTTCACCCTGGGAAGGAGAACAGACACTGGCAGGACTCTGGGGACGGGCCCGGACCTTCCTGCACCCTGCCTTCACCTCAGCACCCACCTGAAGACTGTGGTGTGTTGGGTGATGTTGTTGCTGAGGCCAGAAGCCCTTCGCAGGACCTTCGAGTTCCCCACCAGCACACAAGACCCACAATACAGATCATTATGCCTCACTGAGGGTCTGGGAATCACCTTGAACAGCTTCTCCCACACTTTGCCCAGCTCGCTTGCTGAGCTCATGCCCTGGGAACAGCCAGAGGGAGGAGATTGAGGGCTAGGACCCCCTCTGGTGGGAGGAAAGCAGACCCAGGTGGGTGAAACCCCTGCCCAGAGGTCAGGGGCTGAGGGTCTGAAGATGGGAGGTGCACTAAGCCAGGGCCAAGGGCAGGGGTTTGGGCCGGAAGTGGGAGATGGGCTAGGCCTGGGAAGAATGGGGAAGGGTTAGGCCCAGTGTTGACCACTGACCAACCACCAGAGCACAGCATTGGGGGTCACGGATTCTGTTGTCCTCATCAGGGACCCCATCGTCTTCTCATAGCATGCGTCAAAGCAGTTTGCTTCTCTGACTGTGTGGTGGTACAGGGAGTAGTTGAGGGTCCCAGCTGGGCTGCCACACTTCTTGAACTTGAACCAAAGGCAGTTGCCACACCATGGTACCAAGTATGTCAGTTTTTCCTGGGGTGCCGATTCAGGTTTCCGATCCAGGCAGCGGATCATCAGACACAAGAGGAGCACCGAGAAGACCCAGAGGGCAAGAATCTGACACACATGCTTCATGTCTGACCCGGGCGATGGCTTCCGTGGCAGGCATCAGACTGGCTTCTCTACCTGGGTCTGGGAAAGAAGAGGGTGAGGCCACAGCCAGCCGCTCAAGTCTCTGTCCCACTGGCCTCTACGGCTCCCTAGCCTCCACCCTCCACCCCATACCTCCTCCCAACCCCATCTCTTCTGCCTCTTCATCCATTTGCTCACCTCCAAACAGGACTCTAACTGGGCCTGGGAGGGAAGGTGCAAGTGTAGAAAGATAATATATGCTGTGTCCTGTATCCTCCCCGCAGGAGGAAAGCTTGGCTCTCAGTGGGGTCCATCCAGCACCCAGTTATAGCACAGACCTCATCACAGACTCTGCATTGTGACCTCCCTCCCTCAGCCTGCCTGGGCAAAGCCGCCACACTCTCCTGTCCGTCACACACAGGTGGCCTACACAAAGAAAGGGGCCAACTTTGTGTCTTCTTTACTGCTGCATCCCTAAGACTTTGAATCATCTAAGACTTAGAACCATCTAAACATTTATGGGATCCACGAACAGAGTCAAGAGAGAACGTAAATCCAACTTATGTGTGATGACCCCTCTCCAGTTCTGAAACCGGCTCAGGCCTCTCTTCGCTGGACCCTGTGTCCTGCAGCTCATTGGGAGTCCACTGAGACGTCTGAGAGACCCCGCACAGCAAACAAGCCTGAGACTCAGCTCTGGATTTCCCCCTTTAAACCAACGCCTTCCCAAGACTTCTCTGTCCTTAAGTGGTCCCGCCATTTGCCCAGTTGCTGAAGCCAGAAGCCCATGTGCTATCCTTGATTTCTCCCTCTCTCATGATTTCCAAATCCGTTTTTAAATCCATTTGCTCTATCTCCAAACTGCTTTCCTCTCTTCATCTCCACTCGCACCCCTTTAATTCAAGGGGAGAAAGGTCAGAAACCATTTTATTGTGTTTTTAAATCAAAATGTTTTCTTCCATGGGATGAGAATAGTCAAACAGTTCATCTTAACTAGTGGCAATATGCACTGGGTATTTTATAGCTTTTAGAACAATTCACCAGAAACTCTGAGTAAGGTCTGTAGTCCAGGTATTGTATTGTACCCATGTCAGTTGCCTGGTTTGAAATCAAATTGCCAAATTACTATTGGTGCTGTGTGGTAAGAGAAACTGGGTGATGGGTACGTGGGACCTCCCTTTACTATTTTTGTAATGTTTTATGGCCTATAGTTACTTCAAAATAAAAAGATTTTTAAAATCAGCTAGAAAAAGATACATAGTGAGCTTTAGTGCTGTTTTATGTCAACTGATACAACCTCTTTTTTTACTATTATAAAACACTCAAAAATGTTACAGTTTTAACTATTTTAAAGTGTGCAATTCAGTGGCAAGACATTCACAGTGTCGTGCAGCCATCGCCACCGTGCAGTTCCAGAACACAGTCATCGCCCCGGAAGGAACCCCCACACCCACTAAGCAGCCATTCCCCATTTCCCTCTTCTCTAGCCCCTGGGGGGGAGGGGGAGGGAATGGTTCCAGGTGATACCAATGCTGCTGGTCTGGGGGAGATCCACTGCCTTCCCTTAACATATTCAGCCAGCAAGCATTTTACAGAGAAAAACTGATTCCTTTATTAAGATAGAAGCTCATTCCTGGCTGGCTGGCATAGCTCAGTGGATTGAGCATGAGCTGCGAACCAGGCATCACAGGTTCGATTCCCAGTCAAGGTACATGCTTAGGTTGCAGGCCATAGCCCCCAACAACCACACATTGCTGTTTCTCTCTCTCTCTCTCTCTCCTTCCCTTCCCTCTCTAAAAATAAATAAATAAAATCTTAAAAAACAAAAAACAACTGCCATCCCATGATGTGCCCAAAGTAGGACAGCTTCGGTTAAAAAAAAAAAGATGGAAGCTCATATTCAAATTATATTTGTCTTTTCTAAAGTCTAAAGGACTTAGAATGTTTTCCTTCCACAGGCTGCAACAGCTTCCTAACTAGTATCTCAGCTTCTGTTTTATCCTTTCCCTCATCCATTCTTCATCCAGGAACTGGCATGATCTTAAACTAATTTCCTGCTTGGACCCTTAAAATGGCATCCCATTGCACTCAGAATGAAATCCGAAACCCTCATCTTACACATTTCCCAGCCATTCCGGCTTTTTCCTGTTCCTAGAACTTTCCAAGTTCCATCTTGCCCCAGGGCCTTTGCATTTGCAGTTCCGCTTCCAGGAACACAGCTCTCCCTCCCACTTGTACCCTCAGCACTTCACCTCCCTAGTTCTGTCCCTTTCTTCAAGTCTTATTTTAAATGTCACTCATTGGGGGTTCCTTCCATGAAGCCTGGATTACTGAAATCCCTAAGAAACTCTGTTAATCGTGCCCTGAGACCCCTGACACAGCCCTATTCACCACGGTACAAATATGTATTAAAGGAGTGAAGGAGTCAGTCATTTAGCCTGGAGCCGCACTGGGGAGGGAGGGCTTCCAAGTGAAACATGGATGGGCCCAGGATGGACACAGGTCAGAGCGGACAATTTCTGCTAAGGTTACCCCTGGGAATCCATTTGAGAATAAATGCCTCTTGCACTTGGTGGTGGCAGCTTATGCGTGGAAAAGACCAAGGCTCTGGAATCAGAAAAAACAGGCTTTGAATCCTAGCTTGGCTCCATTAACTAACCCTACAACCTCAGGCAAACTCAATTCACCGCTTGGCCTCCCCAGGGTTGTTCTGATGGTAGAATGAACCAGTCACAGCACTTAGCATATTGTCAGTTTTCCATTAATGTGAGTTAGTCCTTTCCCCTTCCCTAGCAAACGGAAGCCTGAGGGCAGAAGGGGGACTCGGGTCCTGGTCAGCCTCTCCCCAGACCGCCACAAGGCACCCAGGTCCAGTGTCCCTCCTCCTCTTCCTGGAAGCCTTCCCTAACCTAGCACCTCAGTCACTTTCTCCTACAGATCCTCTCACCCAAGTCCTGGTCCTACATCACTGGAAAGATTTGGGCCATGCACCACAAGCCACGCTCAGGAGAACTGGTGTCGTTCAGAAAAATCAGCCCCAAAGTCCTGGCTCCCAAAGTCTTTTGAGGTCCAGAAGAAACCAGTTGGAATCAGGCCCTGCCATTAATGGGCTGGGATGCAGCGCAAGTTATCAGCTTCTCCAGGCCACAGTTTCTCCTCCAGAAAATGGACGCCGCACCTACTTGCTACAGCGGTGATTCTCAAACTGAAACCTGGGAGCCGCACCTACAGGCTCTGATTCAGCAGGTCTGTGTTGGGGCCCGATAATTTTCATTTCTAATCAGTTTCCAGATAATAATGAGGCTGCTTGTTGGGGACACTTTGAAAACCACTGTCCTAGGAGGTTCCAAGTTGTTCCAAGTCTGATGTGAAACTCTTGGCGATGTTCCCAGCACAAGCTTGACAAGCGAGTGCTATTGCTGTCTGTACCCCGCAGAGACCTCCTCCGGGCACCCTGGTCCACAGAGGATCACCCTGACTGAGGGAGCACTTGCCAGCGGACGCCGTCCAGACAACATCACCTGTAGCACCTAAGAGACCGACAGCCTGAGAGGGAACTCGGGTGAGGGGTGGGGGCCGAAGGTGCGCCTTGCTGCGCCTGCGTGCAGAGAGTGGGGCGGGGCTCAAGCTCCGGGCCGGAAGCTGGAGGCTGCAGGGGCGGGCCGGCTGGCATCCGCTTTCCGGCTGGTCCCCATGGAGGCGCTGGGGAAGCTGAAGCAGTTCGATGCCTACCCTAAGACTCTGGAGGACTTCCGGGTCAAGACCTGTGGGGGCGCCACGGGTATGCAGTGGCGGGGCGGGGGTCTCGGGGAGAGGGGTGTCCTGCAGATTGGTCGGGGTTCCCGCACTTTGTCCGGCCTGCCTGGGGCAGGGAGAGATGAGCAAAGGCCATTCTGACCCTCGCTCCCTGCTCCACAGTGACTATTATCAGTGGCCTTCTCATGCTGCTGTTGTTCCTGTCCGAGCTGCAGTATTACTTAACCACAGAGGTAAGGGGCGGGGCCGAGTACATTTGCCCACCTTGACATTATGGGAATAGCATCTTTAGGAATGGGAATGGGTGTGGGGCAGGGGGCCAAATCTTACTGAGGTAGTGCTGCCCCAGGTGCATCCTGAACTCTACGTGGACAAGTCACGGGGAGATAAACTGAAGATCAACATCGATGTATTTTTTCCGCGTATGCCTTGTGCCTGTGAGTACCTCCCCCAGGGTGGGAGTTGCAAGTCCCAGGGTTCTCAGGTGAGCTTCCAGATTTACACTTCCAGCCTGAGGTTCTGGACTGGAGCCCAGGGCATCCCCCTTCCCCTAACCCATTGCTGTCCCAAGACAGGCCCAGCATCCCCTACTCTCCAAAACCCAGATTCCCTTGCCGGCAGGCTCTCAGTACCTTACCCTGGCTTCCTGCTTCCAGATCTGAGCATTGATGCCATGGATGTGGCTGGTGAACAGCAGCTGGATGTGGAACACAACCTGTTCAAGCAACGGCTGGATAAGGATGGCATCCCCGTGAGCTCAGAGGCAGAGCGTCATGGTAACTGGGGGAGGGGGCCTGATCTCAGATCCCAGAGCCGGAGGTGTCCAAGCCCTATGTTTGGCAAGTGGGCTATGGCTGGCCTAGTGACCAATGAAGCAACTAAGACCCAGAGAAGTCAAATGGCTTGCCTACGGTCTCTCAACTGTTCATCATAGTGGCCTGAAATCCAGGCTCCTAGCCTCTGTATGTTGAGAAGAATACTCTTACCTGGCTATCATTCTCAGATGTCCCCAGTCCTTGCATATCATGGTCTGAGTAACAAAAGTTTGAGGATGGATCTTGTTGCCTTGGCAGACTTCCCGTAGATGGACCCAAGCTTCTCTGAGTGTTTGCTTTCCCATCCTCTTGGCTGAATTCAGCCCTTAATGCTCTTTCCTTTCGGAATGCAGGGTGGCTTAAAGTTAAAAGTTGATATTCTTGAGTTAGATTACCTGAGTTCAGATGTAGTTTTGTATCTTTCAGTCTATG